TTTATATTCTAAAAATAATAGGATCCTAATCAATCTAAACTAATCAGTTTATTGAGCCTATTAAGAAGCGCATCCGTTGAATTTTTTTATAATAAGTGAGTGTTATTCTTGTGTTGTTTCTTGATCATACTAGTCTTATACATATTTAGTTTAAAAAATATAAATATATATAAAGCTTTTAATATATTGTATGGATATTATAAGAAATATAATTAAATATGAATTTATTTTAAAAAATTAAAAAAATTACTTATTTAAAATGAAATTATTTATACTTTTCATGATCTAAATATTTATGAATACGGGTTATTTGTAAAAATAAAATAAAAAAACAAAAAGAAGATGATTTTTTAATTATTAATTTTAAAATAATATTTGAGTTGATAGATCGGTAGCATTTTTTTTTAATGTAAGCAGGCTCTTGTTTACTCATAAAAGATTGATTGATATCTTTTTTTATTTTTTTTTATTTCTTAGTTGTTTTTTTTAACAACATAATAATAATGGTTGAAAATTAGTTATCAAAATTGTTAAAAAAAATAGAGATGGTTTTCAATAATAATAATAATAATAATGATTGGTTTTCTATTTTTCAATAAAAAAATCCAAAATAAACAAATTTTCTAATTCTGTTTTAAGAAATTTGAAAATAAAATACTAAATAACTCCTAGAAGTTTGGATCATTGTTATAAGATTCTACGGTTTAGTGGATAAACGGTCCTGATTATCTATGATTATCGACTATAAATCTAATTTAAGTTAAGTAATTACAAAATCTTTTTATTTTTTTAAAATCAAAACTGTTAATTCGGATTAATTCATATAACTCGTAACTTGAGATTAGATGAAGTTGATTTCGAGTCTGAATAAATTTTATATAAATTTAAGATTAAATCGAGATTTTAGACGAATGATTTGGAAACTCACTCGATCTACATGCGAAGCAGGAGGGCAGGTCGTCCTCGCCACAAGCTCCCAGCACGAAATCGGCCTGGTCATATGCATTCACACATCCACAAGAGATGCCGTAGCTTATTAACACCTAAAATCAGCATCGTCGTCTAAAATCCAGCATTCTCTCCTTCGTTACCTTTCTCCATGCTTCAAGCCTTCAGTGTCAGCTTCCTCTCTCTGACCAGTTCCTCAAAGCAGCCATCTTAGCCATCAATGGCTTTACTTAAAACAAAGCTACCTTTTCCTCCCTCACCTTCTCCTCGCCTCTTCAAACACTTATCTTCCTCTTCCTCTACAACCTCACAGGAAGAAGAAAAAAGGCCATAAAGACCCTGAAAACCGCATTGTCACCTGAAGATACCTTAATAGCCGAGAAATTCCACTCTCTGATCAAAGAGCATTGCCTCAGCAACCCCAGAAAAACACCGCCACCCGACCCCACCAACACCATCCCATCTCTGTCCCTTGATTTCTCTCAGATCATTTCCACCGTTCGTTCCATCTCCACATCCATCGTTCGTCACGTCAGTGCACAGTCCAGTGGGGTCCGTCATGAAATCAATTCTTCTTATTTTATTCTGTTAAATCTAAAATCAAAATATCATAAATTTTTATTATTTTTATTTAAAAATTAAATACAAATAACAATATATTAAAGCAATAACCAGAATCAAAAATAAATATATTAAATTTTTACATGTAAATTACACCAGAATCAAAAATAAATTTTTACATGTAAATTACAATGATATATAAAAGCAAAATTAACATATTAAAAAAAATTAATATATAAAAGCATATCTAACATAAAGAATAGAATTACTAGTTCCTAAAAAAAAAAAACTTACACTGAATCAAAGTTGGGTATACGCTATTCAAAGAACTCAATTTAGCTAGAAAGACCATGTTTAATTGTATATTGGACTTGGTGATAGTAAGGTACACGTGAATAATTGTATATTGGACTTGGTGATAGTAAGATACACGTGAAAAAAATTGATAATTTTAGTGGCTTTGATAAAAATAAAACATAAAAAAAATCCAAGCATAATCAAAACAAACAAACCCATAAAATATATCCAATTAATGAAAAAAAAAACATTTACTATAACAAGAAATAAAAAATAGTAAAACTAGTAGATCTAAAAAAAATAGCAAAATTATATATATGTATTCATTAAATTCTTAATAAATATAAAAAAAATTAAATTACTAATTACCTTGTTATTTCAATGAATTAATTGACAGCAACTTTGCTTTAACTTTTATACTTTGTATTGTTAATTTTTTCGGCTAGGTTTACAGAGAAGAAAGAGAGAGAGACATTAAAGGAAATGAATTAATTGAAAAGCTTTTGTTTTCCACTTGCATAGAGATACACAGATATTTAGCCTATTAAAGTTAAACATAACTAATAAAATAATAATTTAGTATTAAAAAGCTTATTATTTGTTATATTTAAAAAAAAAGGTTTTGCAGGGGCCCGCCTTCCCTTGGTTCCGCTGCTGGCCTTAAGTCCTTGCTTTCTTCAACTGGGCTAGCAATCAAGATGGTTTTGGTAAATCCCTTGAGGCTTGCAGTGAAATGATTGATTTTTCTGATAAGGTAATGATGTTTGATGTAGCTTGGTATGCTATTTATTTAATGAAAGCTAGAAATGTTGATGTTATTGTATAGACGTTCTCGATTCTTATGAGAAGGTATGTTAAAGCTGGATTGGCAGCCAAGGCAATCCATGCTTTCAATCGTATGGAGGATTATAATTGTAAGCCTAATAAGATTGCATTTTCGATTTTGATTAGTATTTTGTGTAGGGAACGAAGAGCTAGCCAAGCTCAAGAATTTTTTGATAGTTTAAAAGATAAGTATGAGCCTGATGTTTTTGTGTACACGAATTTGATCTGTACATGGTGTTGTGCTGTGAATATATCAGAGGCGGAGAGGGTGTTTGGAGACATGAAAATGTCTGGGTTTAAGTCTAATGTTGATATGTATAATATTGTTATCGATTCTTTGTATAGGTACGGGCAAACTAAACATGCTCATGATGTTTTCGCAGCGATGCTTGATGCAGGATGCTATCCAAATTTGATAATTTTTAACAGTTTGATGAGGATACATGCTAAAGTTGGGAGGAAGGAAAATATTCTGCAATTATATAATCAAATGAAGAGGTTTAGATGTGAGTCTAAAATGGTCACCTATAATTTTCTTTTAGAGACTCATTGCAAGGACGAGAATTGTGAGGATGTGAAAAGGGTGCTTATGATGATGATTGAGAAAGGTTGTGCTTTGAATGTTGAGGATTACAACATGTGATGCTCTAATCCTTATATACTGGAGATTAAATACACTGACACAATATTTAACGTGATTTGATAAATCACCCACATTTACCGAAGAAAACAATATTATTAAAGATAAATAAAAAAATAATTACAACACACATGTTTGGAGAAAGAGGATCACTTCACTTAAACTCAACTCTTATTACTCTTACATACTACTGCACATTGCAGCAGAGCTACTACCTTTGGCAACCACTTTTTTTTCTCTCTTCTTCTCTTCTCTTTACACATACTCTTTCATTTTGCTATCAAATAATACCTCTAATTATAGGCATTAATGATAAGATAAATTGACCATAAATTATGACACTAATAGTAACAGCACATAGGTTGCACCATTTTATCAATGGTTGGTGCACCTACCATTATAGTCTTTTGACAATGACATCCCTCTTTCTTAGGGTAGGCTGTAAAAGTTGTTGTTTCATGATTACTGCAAATTAATGGCAACAATTTTAACACCGAATGCATACACCTTCAATTCGTTAATTGTGTGTGTCGTAAAGTTTGGTAATGTAAATGTTGTTCACAGGATTTATGACATAATGAAGGAGTTGACGTATGAGCTTAATGCGGTGACTTACAACACCTTAATAAAAATGCATATTGCCTTGAAATCAATTGATATGCTTTTGAAGTTGAAGAATGAGATGAATGAGAATAAGATTGAACCTCATGTTAATACCTACAAGGTTTTGATCACAATGTATTATGACATTGAGAATTGGAAGGATGCTTGTGAGTTGTGTAGAGAGATGATCGAAGAAAAGTGCTTGAAACCTAGCCTATAGGTTTATGAAATGGTTCTTTAGCAATTGAAGAAAGCTGGACAGTTAAAGAAGCATAAAGAATTGGTAAAATGATGGTAGATAGAGGATTTGTTTCTCGTCTCCCTTGAAGCCGTGCCTTTTATTCTCGTTAGTGAATTTAGGTGACCCTTGATCTCTTTTCGTGGCCTAATCTCTTCATATTAAGATTTGCAGATGCTTAATGTCACAGTCTTGTTAATTTTTACAGAATCATTTTAATTAGTAAAATTAATACAATTTTAGTATGAGTCTTTAGGCTTAAGTCACATTACATAAGGAGTAGTTTCTCTTGTGTTGTAAGTTTATAACTTATATTTTTCATGTTTTGCTTGCAGTATTTTGCAGCTTCAGGTTGTAAGTTTATAACTTATATTTTTCATGCTTGCAGTATTTTGGAGCTTCAATTTTTTATTTATATCATCTTTATTCTTAATTTTCTTAATTTTCTTACTAAATGGATGATTTAAGAGGTAGAATACTACCAACCGTCTTAACCCAACCAAATGATTCAAGTTCCAAATCTTTAAGGTGTTGCTATCACTTGAATATCTTTTTTAACATCAAGAAAAGATTTACTCTAACTTGTAATATAATAAAGCTTTAAACTTTTTTTAGATTAACATCTCAACCTAACTATAATTTAATAAGTTGATGGTCAATTCATAATTTTCAACTAACCTAATTAAGATTGATTTAATTTGTAACGTTATGATTTTAATTTTTTTTTTAAATTGATAGTTATTATTTTGATTGATTTAAATTAATATAAATTAATTTATTTAATTCATAGTTCAAGATTTGGATTCAATCATGGTCTGGGCCCAATTAGCAACCCTAGATGGAAAGCAGAAACACCCATGTGGGTTTATTGATTTCTGGACTAATTTCTGATTATGTCGATAAAAACAGTTGGACTAAATCTGTTGTATAAACCTAATTTCTTTCGTCTATGGTTCTTCAAGCCTCTCTGTTTCTCAAAGCAGCCATAGTCGCCAATGGCTTTACTCAAAACAAAGCTCCGTTTTCCTCACTCGCTCTCTCCTAACCTCCTCAAACCCTTCTCTTCCTCTCCTCTTACAACCTCAGACTCTAACCTCCTCGAAGACGACTCGAATGACGATGAAGAACATACCATAAAAACCCCCAAAACCCCACTATCTCCCGAAGAAACCTTCGTCGCTGAGAAACTCCACTCCCTTATCAAAGACCACTACCGCAACAACCCCAACAAAACCCTGCCACCTGACCCCACCTACACAATCCCATCTCTCTCCCTTGATTTCTCACAAACCATCTCCACCGTCCATTCTATCTCCCCCTCTATCATTCGCCACGTCATTGAACAATCCGGCGGGGTCCGTCATGGTATCCCCGTTCTACAAGTCCTTTCTTTCTTCAACTGGGCTAGCTATCAAGACGGGTTTGATAAATCCCCCGAGGCTTTCAACGAAATGGTGGATTTTGCTGGTAAGGTAAGGATGTTTGATTTAGCTTGGCATGTTATTGATTTAATGAAAGCTAGAGATGTGGAAATTACTGTAGAGACATTCTCGATTCTTATGAGAAGGTATGTTAGGGCGGGTTTGGCTGCGGAGGCGATACATGCTTTTAATCGTATGGAGGATTATAATTGTAAGCCTGACAAGATTGCGTTTTCGATTTTGATTAGTATTTTGTGTAGGAAACGAAGAGCTAGTGAAGCTCAGGAATTTTTTGATAGTTTAAAAGATAAGTTTGAGCCTGATGTTATTGTGTACACGAATTTGGTTCGAGGATGGTGTCGTGCTGGCAATATATCGGAGGCAGAGAGGGTGTTTGGGGAGATGAAAGTGGCTGGGATTAAACCTAATGTGTATACGTATAGTATCGTTATTGATTCGTTGTGCAGGTGCGGGCAAATCACGCGTGCTCATGATGTTTTTGCAGAGATGCTTGATGCTGGGTGTCAGCCAAATTCGATAACTTACAATAGTTTAATGAGGATACATGTTAAAGCAGGAAGGACGGAGAAGGTCTTGCAAGTTTATAATCAAATGAAGAGGCTTGGATGTGAGCCTGATACGGTTACTTATAATTTTCTTATAGAAACTCATTGCAAGGATGAGAATCTTGAGGATGCAATTAAGGTGATTGGTTTGATGGCTAAGAAAGGTTGTGCTCCGAATGCGTCTACTTTTAATACTTTATTTGGGTGTATTGCGAAGTTAGGGGATGTGAATGCAGCTCACAGGATGTATAAAAAGATGAAAGAGTTGAATTGCGAGGCTAATACGGTGACTTATAACACCTTGATGAAAATGTTTGTTGCATCGAAATCGACTGATATGGTTCTCAAGTTGAAGAAAGAAATGGATGAGAATAAAATTGAGCCTAATGTGAATACCTACAAGGTTTTGATCACAATGTATTGTGGAATGGGCCACTGGAATAATGCTTACAAATTCTTTAGAGAGATGATTGATGAGAAATGCCTGAGACCTAGTCTGCCGGTCTATGACATGGTTCTGCAGCAGCTTAGGAAAGCAGGACAGTTAAAGAAGCATGAAGAATTGGTAGAAAAGATGGTAGATAGAGGATTTGTTACTCGCCCACTGTAGAAGAAGCTGTGCATTCTGCTCCGATGAGTTATTCTCTCCATTTGTGGCTTAACCTTTCTTATTAAGATACATTCATGTTCGTATGATGATTTAAGTTCAGTTTCTTGATGTTGTAAACTGACATTTCTAGAGCAAAATTTTGAGAATTTTCCTGGCATGCTTCAAAACTTCTAATTTCTACCTCTCTGATATATCTGACTTTTTTCAACTGTGCTGCCTGCATTTGTAACTGGTAATTAGTTTGAACTTCCCAGCTCTCCCAATGAAAAATATCCTGGGATGAATCAAAAATTCATTCCAATTTTCTGGGAAGGCACTGATCACAAAATGACCACGAAGAGAAGCTTATTAAGCTGGACGAACTCCTTGCATCCATGACTGCCACTTGTAGCTCTCTGCATCCTTGCTTAACTGGAAACTAATAACCTCACGCCATTCCATTTAGGGAAACACATTATATCACTGCCATCATTTCCAGATAATTTCTACAAGGCCTGTGGTTTTAAATTTTTTTCTACTATATGAAGATGCAAAACTAGTGGACAAAGATAGAAGCATAGGTTATAATGCATTATTCTTGTGTACAATGCTGCTACTCTTCTGTCTGCACGGGATTACCCTGCTTGCAAACCAGGCTTTATCTATTTCACCGACAACTATAATAATATTACTGAATATTTGATGTCAATTAGATAGTTATATATAGGCATAGCACTGATTTTATTCATGTAAATTATATTTATTATTAATACAAGTTTTTTTATTTTTAATATTCAATTGTATTTAATTAATAAATTTAATGTTTGATTAATAAATTTAAAATACAAATAAAGTATCTGGAATAAAAGAAATTATAAAGATATTTTGAAGCACGGCATATTAACATTAGATAAAGATCAAGGAGGGCGTTGATAATTAACAACGTTATTCAAAAAGTTAACTTGTCGAGAGAGCGGATATAGTCAATGTCACTGAAGTTTTTAAATATAAAAAGAAGAACTGAATTTGCCAAAGAATATTATTATTATTATTATTATTTTGTGAGAGAAACTTCAAATTAATCCTTAAATGCATTACAAATTCTCAATTTCATCAATTGGATTTATAATCCTTCAATGTTACCAATTGTGTCCTGTTCACTGCTATTTTGGTCAAAATTGTCATGTGAACCATGCACGGTTAAGTAGAAATTACCAATTGAAATGGATAAAAGGACCCGATTGAGAAATATATAAAACATCTGTGACCTGAATAACAAAAGTTTCTTTTTATCTTGTGATTTAATGCCTTAACATTAATTATTGCATTAATACATACAATTATCAAGTCTTTCCTGTCTTTTCCATTACCTTTTCTCTTGTATTTTTCTATCTTTGCTCAAAACTTTTGTGCATAAATATCTCGCATATATTTTTAGATAATTATTAAAATATTTTTTTTTGGAGAAAATCTTGAAATACTTATTACGCTTCTATAATATTTCTATTATTATAATTAACAAAATATTGTAAATCTTGATACTCGTCATGTTAAAAATTCAAGAACTAACATGAAAAATTGTAGAAATTTAAGAATGCAACAAGGTGAAAGAAAATTAAGGAGGGAATGTGGAAGTATCTGCCCGTTGACTGTTTACGAAAGAGTGCTAACCAAAACGCAGTTAACTTCCACATATATATATATATATATATATATATATATTTCACCTTATTTCCTCTCGCCCTGAATTCCATGTATCTCCATTTGTCACCCTAAGGGGTAGTATCTTACTATATCACTCCATCTTAACAATTTAATTATAGATATATTTAATTTATTTATAAATTTATTAGATATTAATAAATATATAGCCCCCGATTTAACAAAGTACTTTAACTATAATCATACATGTTATCATATTTGGTGAAGTCTTAACAACCTTTTAATTTTAATAATACTCTTTATTCTGAGTCCTGCCAACTTTATTTTAAACATGTCCTTTACTAGCATCAACTCCTAACTAAGTGGGCTTTAAATGCTCTATGTCTATCATATTTACTATCATTAACTGCTTCTAGCTTTATGTTTAAGTTTTGTTTGAAAGTTTATGCTAAAATATCTAAATTCTTCACATGACACTCATCATCTAAATACTAGCAATCTTTATTTATATCTTTTATGTACATAGTTAAAACATCTCTCAGCAATCACTTTACAGCCCTCTAGATGAGGTTGACTGTATATATCATAATGCGAGCCTTATCATCATATGATCATGCAATCTAAAATAAAATTGAAAATCAACCTAAAAAAGTTTTGAAACCCCGACCCAAAGAGAACCCTAAACCTAAGAACTAAAGGTAACTAAAAAAACTTAAACCCAAAGATAACTTTAAACCTAAGAACTTAAAGTATGCAAATGACATCATGAATCTAATTAATCTTTGATAAGTCAGTGTACGACATCTATCGTTGCAAAAAAAGTTGTTTATAACACGAAAAAAAAGAAAAAAAAATCCTATTTATTCAAATTATCATGACTATCGAAACTTGCAACCATGAAAACAATAAATAGTTCCCTCTAAATAACCTTAATAGATCTCTTTTAGGGTTGCAAGCTAATGATTCCAATCTAATAATCAACTAACACAAGTTTAATATTGAAACATACCTTAAAAAAATATCTAATAGGCCAAAACAAATATAATTTAGAATAAATTCAAAAGCTAATAATATTTAGCACTAAAATAAATAAATAAAAAAATCATAAAACAAAGTCTTTTGCTTGAAATCTCCTTGCATGACCGAAACTCCCCCTTTGTTTTTCTTAAAGGCTTTTCTGAAACTTTATACTCTAAATTAATAGGAAACTTTGTTTTTATTTCTCATTTTTTTTTTAAATTGCTCCCTTTATTTTTCCTAATATGCCTAGGGAATCCTATAAAATAAGAAAAAGAACAACAAAAAAATTCCAAAGCTCTTGCCACCACATGCATTCCATAATAAATATGAAATCCTTATAGACTATATGCACCCTAAGGGGTAGTATCTTACTATATCAATCCATCCTAACGTGATTATGCTTATCCAATTCATTAACAAAATTATATCAAAATAATATTATTTTAATGATACTAAATTTACCCTTAAATCATAACCTCTCATTATATAATACACCTGTAGAATTATCATCTACTCGCATTTCTTTCCTTAAATATTTACTAATAACCAACTCTTTTAACAATTTAATTATAGATATATTTAATTTATTTATAAATTTATTAGATATTAATAAATATATAGCCCCGATTTAACAAAGCATAACTTTTTTCAACTTTAATTATAATCATACATGTCACCATATTTGGTGAAGTTTTGATAACCTTTTAATTTGAATGATACTCTCTGTTCTGAGTCCTACCAATTTCATTTTAAACCTGCCCTCTACTAGCATTGATTCCTAACTAAGTGGGCTTTAAATGCTCTATGTCTATCGTATTTACTATTTTCTAGCTTTGTGTTTAAGTTTTGTTTGAAAAGTTTATACTAAAATATCTAAATTCTTCACATGACACTCATCATCTAAATACTAGTAATCTTTATTTATATCTTTTATGTACGTAGTTAAAACATCTCTCAGTAATCACTTTACAACCCTCTAGATGAGGTTGATTGTATATATCGTAATGCAAGCCTTATCATCATATGGTCATGCAATCTAAAATAAAATTGAAAATCAACCTAAAAAAGTTTTGAAACCCCGACCCAAAGAGAACCCTAAACCTAAGAACTAAAGGTAACTAAAAAAACTTAAACCCAAAGATAACTTTAAACCTAAGAACTTAAAGTATGCAAATGACATCATGAATCTAATTAATCTTTGATAAGTCAGTGTACGACATCTATCGTTGCAAAAAAAGTTGTTTATAACACGAAAAAAAAGAAAAAAAAATCCTATTTATTCAAATTATCATGACTATCGAAACTTGCAACCATGAAAACAATAAATAGTTCCCTCTAAATAACCTTAATAGATCTCTTTTAGGGTTGCAAGCTAATGATTCCAATCTAATAATCAACTAACACAAGTTTAATATTGAAACATACCTTAAAAAAATATCTAATAGGCCAAAACAAATATAATTTAGAATAAATTCAAAAGCTAATAATATTTAGCACTAAAATAAATAAATAAAAAAATCATAAAACAAAGTCTTTTGCTTGAAATCTCCTTGCATGACCGAAACTCCCCCTTTGTTTTTCTTAAAGGCTTTTATGAAACTTTATACTCTAAATTAATAGAAATATGGAATCCTTATAGACTATATATATATATAATAGTTGTTGTCCTAAATATATATTTTTTTGATATGAATCCTTGTATAATATATAAATCAACAACTATCATATATGTTATGTTTTCAATAGCATCAAGAAATCCTTGTATCGACTAGATTTGAGATTTTTGGATAATTAATACAAAGAAGAAATATTTCATATAAAGGGCTTGCCATGATAATATCCCAGTAGAGGTGAGACTTTCCTATAGAAAAATTCAAATGGATAGCTTATGCTTCTTTTGCGAGCATGAAGGAGAATCTATAAAGCATGTGTAAGTCCGATGCCAATGACAAGAGTTAGGCTTGTACGTGTTTATTTTTCACTTGGATAATTTGCGGGATTGGTTTTTCAATTTGGTATAGGCTTTTCATGGACTTTTGATGGCTAGAGTGGAAGCCATAGTATGAATCGTGTAAAATAAGCGGAGTAACATTATTTAGATCTATCGGATCCCAAATTAACTTTCAACTAATATCAATTATAATGGTAGATTTATTAAATGATCCTCCACTCGAATTGTTTTCATTAAATAAATAATAATAATTTGGGATTAATATTTGAATGAAATTACTTTATAAGAATTAAAATTACCATAATTACAAACAACAAAAGGTGGCATTACTGTGCATAGCTATTAGCCCACCTTCACCCGATGGATTAATTTTGGAAATCTAGAATTTAACCTGGTTTTTAGTGATTAGGTTTTTAAATAAAATAAAATAATTATGATAAATATAATTGACCCTGGAACTCACAACATTTTAGTGATTAGGTTTTTAAATAAAATAATTTAATTATAATAAATACAATTGACCCTGTAACTGATAACCATGTCATTTTTCGAGTTAATCACGCGATGCTTATGTGGGGTCACATCATCTATTCTTTTTTCCCTGGTCTTACAACTGCGCAGGCGATATTAATTCAAAGTCTCGCTGCCAAACCTGGAGCTGCCCACAGCAGCCGGAAAGCTGAAATATAAACCAGCAAACAGTGCAAATTCCCAAAAAAACCCTTGGTGCCTCCACCGACCTATAAAGCCCAGTGACCATCTCGCCAGCACAAGAAAAAATACCTGCCATCTTTCGAAAGTTCTCTATATAATATCAGACTCTCTTCCTCCACCAACACGACACCTATACCCTTGATCCAAACACAAAAAATTCCCATAATTCATTCCAGAAACAGAGTTTAGGGCTCAAAGAAAATGGTGAAAGTGAGACATTCGAGGTTACATACGAAGAAATGGTCGACATTTACGTTGGTGTTGAGTATGTTGTTTATGCTAACAGTTGTTCTTTTTATCCTGTTGGGTCTTGGGGCCTTTTCTCTTCCAGTCAGTAGTGAAGATTCTTCTCCTAATGATCTCAATTCGTATAGGCGTATGGCTTCTGAAAGGTAATTTATTTCAAGAACTGGGTTGGTTTCCTTGTTGATTTAATTTGTCATTTGATTGTTTTTTATTGGTGGGGTTTTGATGATGCAGTGATGGTGATGGGATGGGGAAGAGAGAAGAACAGTGGACTGAAATTCTTTCTTGGGAGCCTAGAGCTTTTCTTTATCACAATTTCTTGGTGGGTTTTATGCATTTCTTGGAATTGAATTTATGTAAGAAAATTAGAGTTAGATGATCTATTGACAATGGTTTTCTTTTAATGTCTTGTGGTTTGTCAGATTAGTAGCTAATAATTACTGCCTTGATCTGCCCTTGATGTATCCTTGCTTGTATTTAGATATTATATTGATAGTGGACGGAATGATAATTTGGGTGTACGTTCATCTTGATTTCTGAGCAGTCAAAAGAAGAATGTGAATATCTAATTAACCTTGCCAAACCTCATATGGTGAAGTCTACTGTGGTTGATAGCAAGACGGGTCGGAGTAAAGATAGCAGGTATGAATTCCCAATGTTTTGGCTTCAACTTCTGTTTCAGATCAATTGGATTATAGAAGATGAAGGGCTTGCATTGATTTGAATCAGTTTTAAATTTATTTGTTGATACTTGCATCTCTTCTTCACAGGGTGCGGACGAGCTCTGGAATGTTCTTGAGGCGAGGACGGGATCGATTCATTAGAGAAATAGAAAAGAGGATAGCTGACTTCTCTTTCATTCCCGTAGGTATGGCATCCAAATGTAGTTGGATTTTTAAATTTAGCTTGGAATATGCCTAGTCCTATAGTTTTTTGACCTGTAGAATTTTGAATGTTTTGTTGCAAATAAGTCTTTTTTTACCTCTCCAATAAGTTCAGCCATTTTCAAAGAAAAGGAGTTTCCTGAACGCGGTGAGCTGCCCACCTTCTAAACAGCACACATTGATAACGTTTTGGGTTTATATGGCCTCAATGACTTGACTATTTTAGTAAGTCAATAACATTTCATAATAAAGGTTGTAAATGCTGAAAACATAGTTTATGTAAAGTTTCGGCATTTTGTGCTGAGTTCAAGTATTTGTACCATTTGCATGCTTAATTACCGCTTAAAGTGTCGTGAAAAAAAGGGATTTTTACCATTATCGAGGAGGAAATAGGCATTATGTTTGTAGTGAAATCATATGTGATGAGTTAGCATTCCTTGTTTCTCCTGTATATTCCTGAACTATATATTTAAAGATGCCTGACTAGACCAACTTTACAACAACCAGAGCATGGAGAGGGACTTCAAGTTCTCCATTATGAAGTTGGGCAGAAGTACGAGGCTCACTTTGACTATTTCCTTGACGAGTTCAATACAAAGAATGGTGGCCAGCGGACAGCTACTCTTCTTATGTATCTGTAAGAGTCTCTTCTTGTGGATAGCATGAAACTGGATAAGCGGATATATACATCCTTTAAATCAACTTATGTCTTTCCTTTTCTTCTTTACTTTCTGCAGGTCAGATGTTGAAGAAGGGGGTGAGACTGTATTTCCTGCTGCCAACGTGAACATAAGTGCTGTGCCATGGTGGAACGAGTTGTCCGAATGCGCCAAACAGGGTCTTTCCCTGAAACCAAAAAGGGGCAATGCATTGCTTTTCTGGAGTACAAGACCTGATGCGACACTGGATCCTTCAAGTTTGCACGGTTAGTAATCATTCAGTTTGCTACTGTTTGATAGCTTTAACCGAGGATCAATTATAATTCAGAAGTCCGTGTTATATTTCAGTGGTCCTCGATTCTGTTATTTATGACATCAAAGGAAAAAGAAAAGGAAAAAATCAGGATCGGAAGTAATTTCTTGGTTTAGGAGTGCCCAGTTACACACAGGACATAGCTGCTTTCACACTGTGGAGCAGAGTCCTTTCACTACCGAGAAAATTATTGGCCCCATGCAGGAGGGGTTACTTTTTTGTGGGCATATATCACATACACCTTTCCTGAATACTTTGGAGGGAAGCTATTTCCCTCTCCACTGTTAACATGTTATAATCATCCAGTTAACTCACATTCTTATCACGGCTTAAGCCAGGTAGTTGCCCTGTGATTAGAGGAAACAAGTGGTCAGCTACGAAGTGGATGCATCTTGGGGAATACAAGATCTGAGCTGTTATTGTAAAGGTAATTCTCGACCGCTAAAGGAGTTATTAATGTTATGTGAAGTCATGGTTGTACGTTTCGGGAAATTGGTTTTATTGCAGTCATTTGGCATTATTTACCCTGATTATATTGTCATTTTTTAAATAAATGAATTACTTGTCTCATCCTGTGAATCACACATATTAAAGTTCTTGGTAGATGATATCAAATGATGTTCAATTGTTTCTCGTGATTAGTCAGAGTTTTGGATTAGATGGAAGATGGCGACCAAGAAAGAGAAAATATGCTAATTTAACTAGCTCTCAAGAGTATTATTTGTGCAAGTACTAAGTAAAGCATCTTCTTATTTAAGTTCCTAATGTTCTGCTTTGTTGTTTTATGTATCATCTATATGTTTTGGACATCCAGAAAGGCATTACATGCGCCTTTGGGTTCATTAAATTCCATAGGTGGGTGGTATAACTACCGAGATCTGTTTTGCTACTATATATGTCAGTATGGGGTGGTGGTAACAAAAACCCTGCCATAACTGAATATGGATCTTGATTTTTGTTACAAGCATCATTTTGCAAGTATTATGACAAAAGCTGTTTAATAAATCAATTAAATCGACGACTTCTGGAAATATACTTAATTGACAGTTCTTTTTCTTTTGTTTTCTATTGTCAGCAGGATAGGAAGACCTGTACCATGTGGATCAATTGCTGTTCATGCTGAATGGTGTTAGAATTCCTGACACATGGTGATGCGTCCTTCATTGTAATCAAGCACAGATGTTTTACAACTCAGGCATGGAGATTTTTCATTTGATAGACGTTTTTTACCCTTCTATCCAGCATTTAGGGTTGGAAGTTGGTGGTCTTGAGAGAATTCTTGTAGTAATAGACTCAAAGGGGATAGGAAAAATGGTTGCAGGTGATGCACCAACACCCTGCAGCCAACTGTAAAACTAACAGAATAAATCCGAAATATAAATTACTACCATTTGTTGGAAGCTGGTGCTTTTGAATTTGTATTTTCTTCCGAACTTTCAAGCGAACTGTATTGTTAGTTGCTAATCCAAAATCCACGGACCTTCACCCTGGCCATATGATGCTGCACCTGCAACCCTAGTGTTAACTTTGGCAATGTGAATGCTTTCACCTTTGTTTGTTTGTAAATTTTACTACTTGAAGAGGCTAGCTCTCATGTCTCCCAGACTGAGCTGCGAAAATGACGTTTCGTTTTCTCTAAAGAGTAAAGACCAGTGTTTAATTATATTATCATGGAAACAGGATAGTTGGGATAAAGAGTAAGTATTTTCGTATCTTTCTTGTTAGAGATCCACTCGAAGACTATTCTCATTTTTTATGTCTTTGTTTCTGTTCTCCAACCAATCTCGTCCCATGCATGGCATGGTGCCATGATAGACTCTAATTTACCATGGAGAACCCACCCAATACTCACGAATCGGAGATGACCTGTTACCTTATCTGATTGCAGTTTAGATAACTTACACTGTAGAGCGCTTTATCGTTTACATTTGAATGGTGCTTTTCTTGCACATCACAGAAATCCTCGGATCATTAGAAAACGAATCTAAAAAATCCATGTTAAGGTATACATAAATTAATCAACTAATTCGTCGCCTCTAATAGTCTCACAACAAAACACACGGGATTAAGCGAAAACTCTAATATTCTCACAACAAAACACACGGGATTAAGCGAAAATTCTCCTAGCGATTAAATCTCTCTCTCATTCTCAACTGTTCGTGAATGGCGTTCCAAGTTACCATGGTAGTAGACTATTCTGACAACTATCAACTGAACGAGGCAGTGCCATCTCTTGTGATGAGGAACTACCTCAGAATCCTAAATGTACCGTGTAGAATCTTCTTGCCAGCACCTTCATTAACATGCCCGAATCTTGCGCTCACCACGAATTTGTCCATTTGGTGTTGCATCCTTCCGCGTGTTTTGACACTGTCGTCTTTGCTCGCGGAACAATCTTTTCTTATTGCTGCTCGAGAAAATCTATCATTCCTTAAATGAAGGTTGCTCATCAAACGGTTAAAAATCAGGCAGACAAGTTCCTAAAATTATTTGCTCACACCATGAACAACATCAGTCAGAAACTTCAGTCTTGTACAATAAAACCACATAAAATCTAGGTTATGATCAAATGACGGATTGTTGACCCCTTCAGATTAAAGAAGCAAGATGAAAAGCATGTAAAACACCATTTTATACCACAATTTAACAGAATGACAAGACACATGCCAGATTAAGCAAAATTCATGATGTGCCGGGACCGGGTGTTACTTGAGCAACCCTATGTTATGTTTTCTTCTGTTAATCATATAGCAGACAAGATTAGATGATCTTCCAAAAGTTTAGGTTTTACATTCAACTTGCAACTTTCGAAGGAACACAAATAGTAAGATGTCTGTAAAATCTGGAGGAGGCGGGCATGAAAAATGTATTTCTTTCCCCGTGAACAGATGTGTGAATCTACAAAACAATGGAAAGAAGCAAACTTCCATATTATCCAGTTGTGTCAATGGAAAGCAGTGAAGCAAATGGACAAAGCTTTATCTTCTAAATGCCCCATCCGAGAGCCAAACCATGGAGGAATGGCCGCTATAATCCTGAAAGTGATAAAGAAAGTTGGATATGACAACTAGGGTCGGTTCTGGATCGAAGCAGTGACAAGGTCATGTTTCAAGTCCCTCCATAAACCTCGTCACTTAATAGAGGACTTTCATTGTCCTCTTGAATTGCTCAGATAAATGAGCATGCGAATGTTCATCCCACCATCAATATATACTGCTCTAAAGAATTAGCGAAACTATTTCATAAATTTTGACAGCAAATTTAACATTAAAATCACTAAGGTTATTAAAAGGGGGGGAAGTCACCTTAGCAACAACAAGCAATCCACTGGTGCCTTTATCCAACCGATGCACTATCCCTGGCCGAACAGATGCTACGTATGAGCTAGAACATAACCCTTCACCATTATCGTCGTCAGAAATATCCTCTGTATCCGACAAAACTTCCTGGTTTGAAACTGTTGGAAGACTACTATGTTGTGGTATCCCATTCACCAGCGTGCCGGTAGCATTACCAGGCGCAGGATGAACAACGTAAATCACACAATCAAAAAGGAAAATCTCAGCATCACATTTCAATCCAAACACAACATTAGCTAATCAAAGTTTCAACCTTTTTTTAAAGAGTGATCACCATCTGGGCAGGTTTGTTAACAACCAGAACATTCTCATCTTCATAGACGATATCCAAAGGTAAATTCTCAGGTTCAACCCTCAAAGATTTCCACTCTAAAATTATGCAATCCATCTCATCTCCAGCCTTTACATTATGCGAAAACTTAAACAGACATCAACATTAATATCTCAGAAAAACCAACCCCAGATGAGAACAAAATAACCGGGATGTGTTAAAATAACTACCTTATAGGTAATCTTTCCATTGACAGAAACAATTCCTGATTTAATAATAGACTGAACGCGAGCTTTACTGATGCCAGGAATGCGACAAGAAATCCAGGAACCAAGTCTTTACTTTCCTGACTTGGAATCTACTGTCTCCTCGAGCTTTACACAGAAGTCGTTGATTCTGGTTCGAACAAGAGTATCTTTTGGAACAAGGCTGAACAGTGAGGAATCTTGAAGCTCTTGGCTTTTGAGAGAGGAAGGAGGAGGGAGCTGAGCACCGGGAGACGGAGGGATGGGAGAGCATCCTCTTGTTTTTTATTCCTACCTTTTTGGGCTGGTCGTCTATATTTTATAATTTTTTGGCGTGAGCAGGAAGAGATAGTGGGCCGGACTTGAGTTTTTATGTATTGTGGGCCAGAATGACTTAAGCATTTTCGATGAGTTTTGGGTTTAGGTTATTATATCTTGGGCTTTTGTTTTTGTCAGGTTGTACTGATAATTATAATATAGCTTGTGATGCCATTTCTGCTAAACAAATTCTTGGGTAAGTATAAAAAAGTAAAAAAATATTTAATTCGAGGGATAGAGATGAGTAAAAAATAAATATATTTTTAATAAATTTTGATAGATTTTATATACTTTCAAAACATAAATTATAATGAAACATGAATGTTTCAGAATAAGAAATATATAGACAAAAATAATAAAAACGTGTTTGATTTGAAAAATATTGACATAAAAATAATTTTTTTCTATAATAATTTTCAAAATAAATGTGTATCGTTTCAAAATATAATTAACAGGAGAACGTATCCTTCCTAGCTGAATCATCCCTGCCACAATCAAACACTATCTAATGAATTTAGTTCTGTTTCATAAATAACATTAAGTTCAAATCTCTTTGCCGGAAGCGGAAAAAACTCAGACACCGACGGAAAATTTTCCCCTGGAAAGCTATCGTAGATGTTTTGTAAGACCAAGCAATTGGAGGATGATGCTGGACATCTGACTCGGTAAAAGGATGCCTTATAATAAGTTCTCCAATTCAAGCTTTCATGGACAATTAAAAGCAACCACCAATTGCCCTGCAGTGAACTTATTAATTGGCTTTTAACTTTTAAGTTATAATTCTTAATTTTTTTTAACTTTAAGTTGATAGGGTATTTAATAAAAATAATTTAAAATAATCTTTTGAGAAAAAAATATAATATAATTTATAATCGATAAATTAAGTTAAAAACTTCAACTGCAGATTAAATCAAAAACAATTTCTAATCAAAGCCTTTTTAGTCAAAAGTTAATCATCAACTTAAATTAATTTACAAAAGTCATACGACACATGAACCAAATAAATCAAAATTAAATAAAAGATACATGTACTTTCAAAATTCGTAAAGGGGCCTCTTGGATGCTAGATATTGGACATTCTACAAGCTTGAGGTTAATCAAAATAGAGGGAAAAAAAAAAAAAAAGGCAGAAAATTGGTCTAAAGTGTTTTAAAAAAAACTAACAAAACTTCTCAAGCACGGGCTCCCTTATTAAGAGAAACCATGCGAGTTGGAGCATCTTGATATCGAGAGCCTCCAGAATATCCACCTCCAGCTCGCAAATTGCTTGCCCCCTTCGAATAGCTAGTCCCGAAAACCTGGCCTAAAACCTGTGGCCTCCCACCACCACCATATCCAGAACGTCCAGAACCTTGCCTTCCATGAGTGAAAGATGAGTTTTCATGCCACTTAACACCTGAAGCAGCCAGGTTAGCAAAATCCTGGCCATCCCTCCTTCTCTGAGGCAGATCCAAACCGCCACCGCCCATGTTTGCTTCCATTGCCCTTTCATTACTTTCAGCAAGGATTGAAAGCTTCTCTGTCAACTGGAACGCCAAAGCCTGCAACCTTGTGTGCTCAAGATCATGGAATACAATACACTGTGTTGTCTGGTCCCAGCTTGCTCGGAGCTCGTCATTGATCATCATTTTACTGACAATGACTTTAGTCTCAGATGCTGAAAGGTCAAACATTATGGTCAACCGGTCCAGGCCAAGCGAATCATAGGAGGAGGTGTACGAAAACAGGTAGGTCCTCAGAGCTTCTGCCTTAATCTTGGCTCTAAGCATCCCAAGAACACCATCTCTATTTCTGAGGAGCTTCCAGACATCAAGAGACTCAATAACATCAAATGCCTTCTGGAAATCTCCTTTCCTAAGTGCCCGTGTAGCAGCCATTACATGGTCCCTTACATTTTCAGGAGGACCAGTGAAAGTTTGCCTCTCACTTACATCAAGCAGCCGCCTAAATGTCTTGCTAATGACCTTGCGCTTATCATCAAGAACATTGGCTGCCATGCTGGGGACCTCCAGCAGCATTGCACAACTGAGATGGACAGACTCCAGAAGTTCAAGATTTATGTGCATATGATATGGCATCTGGCGTCTCCTTTCCAGTCTTTCCTGTTGAAATTAATTAAATACACCAGTGAGTGGGACCTGTCCTTGGACAAAGTGCTAACTCTGATGAGTATGAATCTAAAAGCTTCATTTACCCAAGAAAAAGGATACAACCAAGAATCGATTCACTCATGTTAGCTTGTATAACAAACAAAAATAAATCTGCAAAACATATGAACTTAACTCAAGATGAAATGGAAAATATAAAATGTTTGCTGAATTGCAATAAATGATCATATGCATGCTCTAGTTACATAAACTAATAAGTGCATCGAACACAAGCTCACATGCCTGAAATCAACTGCACCTGAATATATAGACCAAGCCCTCACAAGCAATGAAGTTATAGAAGTTTATTTTTCTTCTATAATAAGTACATGCACAATAACATAAAATTACCACCTCTACTTCCTAAGAAATTGATCAATGATAAACCAAATCATAACACGCATCCATATTTAACTAGGCTACAAAAATACGAGTTCAAAGAAAATGCAAAAAAACACTACATTTTGAATGATAAAAATCAAGGCTTAGCCTAAACTGTTAAAATATCCTTTAGAAAGCAATTCAAGACAATTAGCCTCCATCAGCTAATTCGACTTTCTATCCAAAAGCAGAATTATACAAGCTTAGAGTTCTTCACTCAGCTTGAAATCTGAAATGAAAACTATAAGTTAGCTTTAAGGTCCCAAAGACAACTTAAACAAACCCAATGTTAGCTTGATACAACCCCCGACACCCCCCCCCCCCAAATGTTTCTGTAAAAAATAAGTAAACAACTAAGATAACTCCTTGCAGATGCAAGCATGACATCTTATATATATATACATGAGAACAGAACCTGTTCCGGAGTTTTTTCATAATATCGGCTTTGCGAAAAACCTTGTGCAAGCAACTCCTTCACCCTTCCACCTGAATACAATTCAGAAAGACATCCATGTGCTTCAGCAATTAGACCAACACGGAATGCACATAAACCAAGTTGTGCCATAGCCCTGTTGAAAAGTATCTGGCTTGAAATGTCCATGTGCTGAATATTATCTTGCAGGAGACTCATCAATAGCAGGTCACGGGAGGTTGCGAACTCATCCAGGAGAGCATGGTGGTAGATATCACAGAGCATTGCACGAGCTTTGGTCCGCTCATCTCCAGGCTTGTAAATGAGGGAGTCTAAAGCATCCATCATTGTCCTGCTATTCTCAGGAAAGGTAGGCTTTCGAGGCACAAGCTCCGGAGTATTAACAAACGCAGAGGAACCCCTACTTTCCTCAACCTTAGGGTCCTCACCATTGCCTCCATCTTCTGTCTGTTCAGCCAACTTTCTCATTGCATCATAAACCTCTTGTGGTTTGTAATAGATCAGCTCAACACGTCTTAAGGCAACCTTTGCTGCAGCTTTAAGATCTCCAACACGCTCTAGATATTCTTGGACATTCTGAGCAAGAACTAAAAACATAGGTTCATCCTGCAGTCTCTCAATGTACTCACGTGCATGCGGATCAATGCACTGCAAACTCTTAAAGAACTCAATATCCATTCTCTCAAGAAATGCCACTAAGTTTCCCCAAATCTGAATCAGCCCATTATGGTCTGCTCCTTTCTGGGTTTCATTCTCATCAGGTTCAACTGTGTCGTCCACAATAATATTAGGATACTGTACCAGAATGTCAAGAATAACCAGCATGTTCTGCACACAATTTTTCCAGACATGTATAGGCATGTGCCCACTGAGACCAGGATTCACATCAAACTGGGCAGAGACCACACTAAAAAGAATTTCCAACTTCTGTGCAGGGGTCTTAGCAACTTTCGTCAGGAAAGTTAGCTGTTCAACCTGCTCAAACCTTCCAGTTCCCCTCCTACCCCGGGCAGCAACAATTTCTTTAAATTTCTTGTTTACAATATCCCAGGTGATTTCACTAGGATCTTTTGCAAACTGCTTATCCATGAGCTTATCTTTCTTACTCATCATCTTCTCCCAGCCCCCATCCTTTTCAGATTGGTCATTGACACCCTCCTCCTCTTCGGATATTACAAGCTTTGAAGGATCCTCCTCAAAATCCAAATCAGACTCTTCCTCCTCTTCTGACTCCTCATCAGCCTCTGGTTCTTCCTCACTTTCAGGGAGTTCCCTAGATATATTAATCTGATCTTCATATTGTTTATTGTTTTTCTTCAATTTCTGCTTCATTGCATTCAAGGCCTTGGCATTAATGCTGCTCATTTTCTTTTTAGCTTCCTTATTTGCCAAAGCCTGATTCAAGAAATCTTCCAGCATTACCAGAGCTTTAATGTAAAGCGCGGGAACCTTCTCTGATTCCATCACTCTCATGACTTTCTCAAGTTGCTTATTCATCTTATCAAAGCTCTCCTGCAAGCTGACCCAATCATTAATCTTCATTGCATTCTTCATTTGATCAACAGTGGCTGACATCTCCTCAAAACGCTTGTCTTTGGCTGACCTGACCACACGCTTTTGATCATCAGACTCATCACTATCACTAGCAGTTCCTCTAAGATATTTGTTCTCAGGAGTTTGGGCAGTAGACTCGTCAGCTTGTCTATCCTCAATCTCATCTCCATAATCACTGTCCTCATCAGATTCGCTATCACCCTATAACCAAATCAAAAAATAAACAAAAACAACCAACACAACAAAGCCAAATGGAATATTCCTTCCCCTAGAATATGAAATAGCAAAATCACAAACCTGTCCCCAGAAACGCGAAGCCATCTTCTCCTTCAACCTAAATGCCGTCAGAAAACCTCAAGATCCTACATTAACACACACAATTACATATAACAAATATAAACCCCGGCAACGAACAGATCCATCAAAATATCACAACTAGAGTAACACACAGACAATCAAGAACCTAAGAAGATAAAATAACAAAATCCTCCTAATATAAAAACTTGGATTTCATGGAATTTAATTATTAAAAAAAACATAAAGAACAACGAATTTATGATCTCTTTGAATGAAAACAAAAGAAAAAAAAAATCAAACTTTCCATCCTTCAAAAGAACTAAACCCTAACATTGACCTGGGCTGATGTAAAATCCAGATTAAAAACAGATTAATTGTCCAGTTTAATAATAAATTGCGGGCTACCTTCTTCGATTGAGTTGTTCAAGAACTGAAACTATTTAGTTTTGAGGCGACAGATGCAAAAGGTGAAAGAGAGAGGGAGTACCTGAGCCAAGATAAGATGCTTGATTTGCGAATGGAAGGAAAGCGAAGAGGAGAGTTAGGGTTTTTGCCGCTTTGCTTTTAGCGGAGGGGAGTCGGGGACTTTCTTCGGGTTTCAGTCCGTGCCGGTTTGTCACAGTTTGCTTTCCGAGGCAATAGCATTCGTTATGTTCCGGATTAAAATTTAAGCCCAAGTTCAGAAGCCCACCAAAGCCCACCAAAGCCCACACAAACTGTGTGGGAGGGTAGCTTCCACTTTTATTTTTTTTTCTTCTTTTTTTTTAATATAAGCCCGGCTAATCCCTTTTTTCAGTCTAAATTTGAGCAAAATAATTACAATATCATTTATTAATTCTCAAGAAATTAATTTCTCATTATATCACTTAAAACACTGAGTTTTCTATTGCATTAATATAATATTTGTTAAAAAAAAGATAATGGAGATAAAAAGAACATGCATCCCTTTATTATTTTTAAAAGATAAGAATTCACTTGAATGATTTATTTTATGTTTTTATTTTTGTTTTTTATCTATTATATTTATATTTTCTATCCAGAACATTAACCAAAAACAATTTAATAAATATGTTTGTGCTTAAAAAATATATTGTTTAATCTCGAATATAAATCATTTTTTTGTAACAAAAAAAATAGATAGATATATAAAAAATATATATAACAAATAAAAAAAGGTTTGAAAGGAAATCATTATACTTGAGATCATGATTTGAAGTAGATTAGGATATTTTTAATAATTATGTTTGCAATTTGCTTGATGGATACAGGGCGAAATTTTTTATTAATTATTATTAACATAAAAAACTATAGACTTATTTAAAACTTGAGCACCAATAATTTTCTAGCAAAGGATTTCTAAATAACAGTAGGCTTATTTACAAGCATGTTATATACAATAATATTTTTATCTTAAATTGACTTTAGAATCTTAGGATCCCTTTCTCATCATGGTTGCAAATTCCTCGTAGTTGATATTTCCATCCTGCATAATATGTCTCCATCTCTAAATCAGTTTCAAGAAAGCATCAACATATAGTAATAAAAAGGTCAAAAGAAAAGATTTTTACTTTATCAGTATCAACATCTTTTATCACTTCATCTATTGTAGCCTCATCCCCCATTCCATATTGAGACATGGCTTGTCTTAACTCATCTCTAGTGATATATCTGTGAAAATTGAGCAGCTCAAGTTCAATAGTGCTACGAACATTTTGGTTAGGAGTCAAGAAATATTGTACACTAGATTTATCTCAGGAGAACTAGTAACCTTACCAATTATGATAAAATTTAGATAACATTTTGATTATTGCTTCGGAATAGAAGAAATGAAAACAATTGAGATACAGTCCATGTCTTTTATGCTTTGAAAAGACAAAAACTCATTTTACATATTTATTTTATGTTATCTTCTTTACGTGTCTTTTATATCTTGGGATGCTAACCAACACAATCTTAAAAATTACAGAGAATAGAAGAGGCAACTAACCCATTATTATCCTTGTCAAAGTATTGGAAGGCCTTATACAAGTTCTCTTCCTTCTCAAGTCTATGCCGATGCATGGTAGCCGTAATGAATTCAACATAATCAATAGTACCACTATTGTCAACATCAGCCTAACACAAAAAAATGGTCTTATCAACGTGAATCTTGCTGCAATGCTTGCTAGTTAAAATGGATTTTGAAGGAGCAAAAGGGAAAGCAACATAAGAAATGATAAAAAGAGCATAGTTGAAGTGTAGTTCTTACACCATCCATCAACTGCTTTATTTCTACTTCAGTAAGCTTAGATCCTAGCCTTGACAGTCCAGATTTGAGTTCTTCATATGTTATAGTACCACTTCTATCAGTGTCCATGTTGTTGAACATCTGTCTTAATCCCTTGATTTCTTCCTCTGAAAGGTTCTCAGCTATGACCTTCAATCAATTAAATTGTAGTTCAAGAAAGCAATGGTAAGGATATGAAAGGAATAAAAAACAAATAAAAATGATAGCTCTTGTTGGTGATCCCAAATCTAAATAGTGGCATCATTCTAACAGCTAAAATTATTCCTTCACATGCTTTAACATTGATAAAGAGTGATTTAAAACACGGGGGATTCTTAAAATGTGAACATTTATGTGGCTTTGATCGGTCAGAAAATGAAGGTGTTAAAACATACTTTTAGTGCGAGCTTCTTCAACTTGTTCATTGCTCTGAACTGTTTCATCCGTATCAGGACAACACTATCAATAGGCTTGTTAGATGCTTCACCACCCGCCTTCATCCATGGATGTTCTGATTCAAGTGTATGGTGTGAATAATATCAATAAACCACATAATTTTATGACATTATAGTTTGTTAATGAATAAAAACTCCATAATTTGTTTTAGGATCAACTAGTTGAAGAACGATATTGGGGGCTTGAAGATATTAGCTGCCTCAAAAAAGGATACCTAATATATAGAATGAGAGCGAGGATTGATTGATCAAATCATGGATAATTATACACTAACCGAGTGCTTGGGCAGCGGTGATCCTACTCTTGGGGTCTCTCGTTAACATTTTCTCGATGAGATCTTTTGCAGAAGGTGAAATCTGAGGCCATGGCTTGCGCTGGAAGTCAAGATTGCCATTTAATATTGCTTCATTTATGTCCTTCTCAGCCTCTATTACAAAATGTGTTCATCCACACGTCAGTTAGAAAAACATTGCACTTTAAGAATATCTCAACACAAAAAAAATCATGGTTTAAGAATGCGTGATCCACAAGTTATTTCCTGAAAAACAGATTGGGGCACACTTTTTGTTTCTCAAGGAGTAGATAACTAAGTTTAAAGTGAGGGGTGTGGCTACATCATGCTATATAGCTCAATTAGTAGAGTAACGAAGAGCATACCAGCCCAGAAAGGAGGCACCCCACTTAGAAGAATATACAGAATGATCCCAGCACTCCAGACATCAATCTCTTTCCCATAACTTCGTTTCAACACCTCTGGAGCAATATAGTAAGCACTTCCAACAAGGTCATTATATACTTTTCCTGGAAAATTAGTTATGAAAAATTAAGTAAATAAATGATGATGAATCTTAACAAGTAATATGCGATGAGATTTCTATAGCAAAGAAGATTTTGTATGTTTTTAATTTCATCATTTTCTTGCAAGAAACGATGACCATTTGCAATGTCACAAAGCAAATAAATAAACTAAAAAAAAGATCATTGTTAGCTAATGTATCTAGATTGCATATCTTTGGTGCTCTAAAATTATGTAAGTTTACCTTAACGTAAACTTGGTCGAACATAACGAGTCACTCAGTAAATCACTAACTCAAAACCCTATCTTAGCTATGTTTTATTTCAATTTGATTTAAAGGTTGATTTAAATTTAGTAACACCTGACTAGGTAAACTTTAAAATTTAGTTTCAAGGGAAACTATTTGAAGGAAAAATAAGCTTTTAAATTTCATCATTTTCTTGCAATAAATGATGACTTGGTAAGATCTCGTTGTTAAATTAAATACCACAAGTTTCAGAATTGTATCTACTTATAAAAAAAGAAAAAACGTCATGCTAGAAGTCACCCGAAAAATTAAGAGGTAAAGAGAACTCAATTTGCAAAAATAAATAAATAAAAGAAATGGCCAACCTTCTTCAATGAAGACAGATAGTCCAAAATCAGTAGCTTTAATTGGAGCATTTGGATCTTTACTTGCAAGCAAGAAATTCTCAGGCTTCAAATCTCTATGCATAACCCCCATAAAATGACAGGCATGAACCACATTCATAATCTGCCTAATAATTGTAGCAGCTTCACTCTCCGAGTAACTCCCTTTAGCTATAATCCGATCGAAAAGCTCCCCGCCAGAGCATAACTCCATGATCAAATGCAGATTTTGTTTATCCTCGTAAGCACCCTTAAATTCAACAATATTAGGTTGTCCTGTTAAGTGCTGTAGTATTAAAATCTCTCTTCTAACATCCTCGATATCCTTTTTCTTTACAAGTTTACTTCTTGAGATAGACTTGCATGCATACATCCTTCCCGATGTCTTCTCTGTACAAAGATAAGTTATACCAAAATGACCTCTACCCAATTCATTATCAAGATCGTAAATTGTGGTTATTTCAACATATGGTTTACAAAGAATGGGACCAATATTTGAGGATGAAGTAACAATAGTTTGAGAAGTCCCAAATGTTTTCGAAGAAGGTGTTGTTGATGTTGGTGGTTGTAGCGGTTTGTTCCAACGTTCTTGAGCTGGTCTTTTAGGTGGTGCTGGTTGGTAGTAGACCTCGTCCGAGGAAGAGGAAATAGGGATATCATGAGAACAAGACCTAGAGAAACACTTTCCCATTGGATTGGTGAGCAGTAACTGATCAAACGAGAGTAAGATTGTTTCAGGTTTTTAAATTTTTTGGTGGGTTCTGATTTATAACAAGAACATGTAGGTTGTGGAAGATATTGAGGTTTTGGCTAAGAAAATTCTGTTGCTTACTTTTTCGGGTGCGTTGCTTTTGCCCGATGTGGAGTCTTGGGTATCATTCTTTCTTTCTCTCTTACATTTTTGCTCGAGGACGCATCTACTTTGCTTCGCTCTGTTGAGTGAGGACAAAGGAGAGGGCTTTCTTCGTGCTTCGAAGCAATAGCTTTTAGCATAGTTTAGACGGTAGGGTAATCGACGCGTTTCTTTTCCTGTGGTCGTTTCAGTGCATTGTTATCGCCTTGACGTGTGAAGTAAGGAAATTTCGCACCAGCCCACCGCCACAATTTGCTTCATGACAGCAACAATGTGGGTTAATTAAGCTCTAAACGGTACTGGACTGTGAAGCCCATAGCATGCAGCGCTGGGCTTCCTAAAGAACAACAAAAGCATAGTCTTTAGATCTCAACAAAGCCCAACTCATTAAATTCTGAAATGGGCCTTCTGAGTTCTGTAGCCCTTCAACATGAGAGATTCTCAATTTTACTTTCCTTCGTTGAAATCCTGCGTTTCACGCTCCTGCCCTCATGGTTAATTTGAAGCTTGATTTAGTCTTACTTTCCTTGGTTGAAATCATACGTCTCAAGTCCCTGGCCTGATGGTTAATTTGAAGCTTGATTTAAAACCTTTTTTTTCTTAATGTTTGTAATGATGATTTACTTTTAAAAAAAATTAAATTAATATTTTTATATGTTTTCAATAATTTTTATATGTTGATATTAAAATTAAAAATACATTTAAAAAAATCATTTTGATATAAAAAATACTTTTAAAAAATACCACATATTTAAATTGAATTTATTTCTAAATAAGTTGAGAGTTCATTTGATTGAATTTATGTAAAATTTAACTGGTTAGATTTAAGATTTTTTAAATTTTTTTGTCTTAAAAATATCATTTAAAAAAACATATTTATTTTAGAATAAATATAAATTAACATTCTATTTATTTTTATTTTAAAAAAAATAAAAAAAAAATAAAAAATTTATTTTTTATTTTTTATTTTAAATTAATAATTTTTAATGTTTTTATATCATTTTAATATATTAAATTTAAAAATAATTTTTTAAAAATAAAAAATATATATTATTTTAATATATTTTTAAATAAAAAATATTATTTTAGAAAACATCAAAAACTGTAATTTCAAGCACGTTTTAACTCATCCATTTTATGATAAGTTATAACCATGATTGAAATATGAAAGGTTTGAAATTAATCACATGTAAGGACCAATGAGCGCGATTTTCAATTCCTTTACGTAATCAAATTGTAAATAATTAAATGTACAACCACAATTGTTGTCGTTAAGATTGGGGAAGTACAAACGATAGGAGAAAGAGACAGTTCCGGTTAGAAATTGTTGTGGGGTTTTCAAAGAAGGCCTTAATCAATTATTAGTATCTTAAAAGAACCCACCGCTTTTATGAAATTATAAAGTTTGCCCGGGCGATTTTAAATTAAATAATGACAAGGCAAAGTCATTGCGTACACCCGTCAACCCTTGGTTAATATTAAATTTATGTATAGCGTGTATCACGCGCATCAAATTTCTATTTTATTCATTTAGAAGTTTGAAAGGAAGACCCTTTAAAAAATAGTCTTGGTCTTTGTATAAAAGCTGGACAGCGATATTTTAAAAAATTATTAAATTCATGTTTTTTAAAAAATTTAATTTTTTATTTAAAATTGTTATTATTTTAATTTTTAAAAAATTTAATTTTTTATTTAAAAATGTTATTATTTTATATTTTTAAATTTTTTTATATATTGATATAAAAATAATTTTTTTAAATAAAACCATAATGATGGAGAAACAAATCCCATGCAATAATAGAAAAGGCTACGTTCACACCATGATAATGTATGGGACTTCCTATAGCAGAACCTGGGAATTTGCTTTTATAATTTTGGTTTTGTGCTTGTTTTCTGGTTGTTATCGTGGCCAGATAGTGTTAACATAAAGATAATATTAGCTGCAAAAAAATGGATTACGAAGAAATTAAATTGATTTATTATTAGTAATTCATATTTATTAAAATTTATCACATTAACTAAATTAATAATTATTTGAATTTCATAATCAACATATTTGTTTTCCACTAGAAACTAATGATGAACAAAGTAATATTGGCCTTAACTCTTAAAAAGAAAATTTTCAGTTTGTATTTGATATTGTGATATATAATTTTTTTAAAGGTATTTTTTTAAAAAATATATATTAAAATAATTTTCTTTTTAGATTTTTTATTTTTAATATTAACACATTAAAATTATAAAAAAATATTAATTTAATAATTTTTCAAGTAAAATACATATAAAAATAAAAATTACTCCTCTCGATCACTCATTTGACATATAATAGTATATTGCCACAGGAGTGGTTGTGACTCATAAGCATTAATCTTTTGAAGGATTGCCATTTATGGCTATCGCTTAAAATTTAAGGTGTTTAAAGATTTGAAATCTATAATGAAACTTTGACATGCTGACCGGGACAACATTAGGGTAGCCATTAATTTTATTTTGTTATATGTGAACCATTGACCTGGGAAATTCTTCCCGTTGATGTGATAGCAGCCCTGCCAGCTCTATCTACCACGAGTCTTTTCTCGGCATTTATGTGCTTTCGTTTCTCGTTCGTGAGCTCTCCATCATCTTATTACTCCTTACTGTTGACATTTTGCTCCAGCCTTGAAACGAAACACTGTAGCATTGTTTCGCTCCACACATGAAGGTCTGCGCTTGTCCTCCTCCTCCTCCAACTCCCCGTTCTTCTCTTGCATCGATTGTTTCTTCTGTGAGTTTGAGGGAGCCATGCATCTCTATGCTGTCCACTATAATTGCCAAGCTGACCTGTGCAATTCTGACTCTCTTATCTGCAGAAGGTGAGTGCATGTAACATTTATGTGCCTTTTTCTCGAACTATATATTGACTTGTTTCGATCTGATATTCTTCAGGTGTTACTTGTTCATGTGGAGCGATAACGTCCTGCTCTGTAACCTTTTCGGTTTGATTTTCGGTTTTTATTTAAAAAAATAAATTACAAAATTTGTCTGTTCAGGATTTTTTTTAAAATAAAACCAGCTTGAAGTCTGGATCCACTACTTTGCTCAGTCCAACCACGATTGATACCAAACGATGACGCATGGTTAATTAGTAAAACCTAGGAGGTCATTCTTCGCCTTGTAGTAGTACAATCTCGAGAAAAAAAAACACTACAGGCAAATTATAAGCGATTACTTTTCTATGAAAACAAATAACTATCAATTTTGTAGAAACCCTATATCAAATTTGGGTATTGTGTAAAAACAAATGTCAATCTAAAAACTAAAGACTAAATTTTTTAAATGAAACTCTAAAATATAATTTATATTATTTTTGAATATTTCATTTGGTCATACAGTGGGTGCAATATTGGGAGTCCTGATAGGAGCTTTTGCTGGCCTGAAAACGGAGAAGGGATTTCTCCATGGAGCCATAACTGGAGCGGCAAATGGGGTCATTTTATCCAAAAAGATCCTTGAAATATTACTTGCTACGTGGGATTCTAATGATACAGTAATCGCATGCTTCTTTTCTTTGGTAAGTGTCATGGCATCGATAGGCATTAGTGTCATTAATTATCGCTATATTGTTTGGTTATTAATGCTGTAATTATTAGTTTTTATAACAATTAACACATATAAGTTTATCTTCTCCAAAGCTTGACTCAGTTGCATATATCATGAGTGGAAGATACCATCCTCAACGATTCAATCCAACCAAAATAGATGAAGAAGAGAGTGAGGTATGGATTTGCCTCTTCTTTTTTCATATGATAATTGAGAGCTTTATTAGCATGCCAGAATACTATTAAGGCAATGATACTTAGTAGGATATTAATATGCAAACCCGACAAGATAAAAAGTGAGTAATAAGATAAAATAAAAAATAAAACACACAAGAATTTACATGGTTCATCCAATTAGGCTACGTCCACTGGAAAATATAGAAAGATTTTACTAAGTAATGTGAGAATTACAAATTCTCTCAAATAATAGGAAAACAACTAAGAATCTATCCACTACTAGGAGAAAATACATCACTTACTCTCTCACAAATACCTTATAATTTTATGAGATTGCTCTCTCTTCACTTTCCTCTTCTTCTCTCTATCTTGGTGTGCCAAATAAGTTTGGAAGCATTGCTTATTTATAGGCAAGAGTAGGGGGGATAAAGGCCATAAATCATGGCACTACTTATGCCATAAATTATGCCAACAACTCATCTCTACTCATACTCCATCAATTATGCTAACAACTCTATCAATTATATCAACAACTCACCTCCAATTATATCAACAACTCCACTTATTTTTGTTTTCCATCAATTTTACTTAATTTGATTAAGTGTTGGCTTTACACTTTGGATGAAAAGGAATACAGGGATATTGTCCTTCCTACACTAAGACAAAATGTAAGAAAAGCATGAATGAAAACCATACACGATGCGAAGATTAAATAAAAGATACTTGGACATTGTGTTTCCATTTCTAGTCTTCAATCATAAGCAAGTCAAAGAAGAACAGGATCAAACAACTTATTCCAATTCGGTTTCTTATCCTCGAAAACCAAATCATTTCTAAAATTTCAAATCCACTGGAAAATACCTAAAGGTTTTATTGTTGTAACTCACTAGCGGTTAATGTGTGGAAGAATGAATTAGCTTACATAATCAATCTTAGTTATTATTTCAACAAATTAATGCTAATACGTGAGGTAATTGCTTCACAGGTTGATATTGTCATCCTCGTCGATGCAACCTACAAGCTGATATGATATATAACAAGGTGTCCATGCACTTCCCTAAAAGAAGTTTTCAAATATTATTTATTTAATAAGAGATCATAAATAATTAATGGATACTTTTATGGTCTGTAATTTATTAATATTCTATTATTTTCAGGCTTTTAGTTTTCTATTTTGTTTTGATGCAAAAGACAAGCATTATATGATCAAGTTGTGCGTACCATCACTTTGGTGGCGTTGAACCACAATTTACATTCCTTTTTCGAAGAATTATATATATATATAAAAGATAGTATAAGAATGTCCGTGTAATTCTATACATACAAAAATCTTTTATAAGCTAGTAATGATGTAATGGACACCATCTTAAGATTAGACTATGAAGACTTGTCTTAAAAAATGATTATACGATGAATTAGAAAAGGATATATAAACATTGGCATCCAGAACTTAGGTGCATCCGATCTATGAGTGTATATGAATATGAAATAAGGTAAAAATTGTGGAAGAAACTTTTGAATTGAATAATATTATTTGAATTGTAAGGTTGTACCAAATATTAATTAGATTTTGAAAAGAAAATTTATATTCAAGGATTATATGTTTTCTATTCAGACAAATAACACAACGTTCGTTTATTTAGTTTCTAGCTATCTAAATAGCTGAAAACTAAGTAGAAACTCTCTTTTAAATTTTTAGGTCAAACAATTTAATTTTCAAATAATTTTTATTTAAAAACACATGAAAAATAATATACACAACTCAATTAACCCTCTTATTCCTTTAAAGTTATCAAAAATCAATTAAAAATCAACTCGACACCCAGATTTTCCCAAGCTCTAGTATCCGTTTTCAAGTAATTTGAATATCAATAATCAATACCATCCAATTCTCCTAGTTTAATGGAATATTTTAACTTTTATGATTAGAATCATTACAACCATTCACTTTTTATCTACCATTGTTTTTCTTTGAGTCTCCATCTCATCCAAAAATCTAAAAACAAATAAAATAAATTTGTAAATTAGTATAAATATTGGCAAAAACTTCATATCAAACTTATTTTTTAATGTGTTTTACAGTTTCGCTCTATTTCTTTTAATTTTGCAGTTCTACCATAATTTCAATATTAATTTCATCTAATTAAAGATACAATTGTAAATAGAAAAAAAAACTTAAAAAAAAATACAGAGCACCATAAAGAATTCCAAATATTTTAGATGCATGTGTGTGTCACACAATAGAACCATGGCCCTGAAGAGAAAATCAAATAGAGCCTCCAAGATTTATACTTTTTGAGGTTTACGAACGTGCGTGCATGGCTTCTCTCTTTGCTGGTCTTCTTATTAAAAAAATCAATTGAACTGAATCAATTTTTTATCCAATCCGGCCTTTTCATATTTTCAAAAACTAGCATATTTTATTAAGAAAATGACCCGTTAGGAATTAGTCCATAAAAATTTTAAAATATATATATAGGGTTTTCTGCTGGAACCTTAGAAAGGGTAGAATTTAAAAGCTGTGAGGCCTCCATGCAATCCAAGAAATAATAATTCTTTTTGTCAATTACAACGGCCGTACGTTATATCCCTGCTGGCCCATCCAATGGCTCACCTAACTTGAATGATCTGGAACGAAATATCCTTGCTGGCCCCTCCAATTGCATCGTAGTATGCTTTTAAATAAAATCATGTCACACAGTGACGTCTGTCTATATGGGTGGAGGCAATTGTGGCAAAATTTATCATGATGGAGCTCTTTTACAAAATCTCCCCTTTCACAAACTTTTTTTTTTTATATTCTTCTACTTTTTATATATAAAAAATAACATATAATTGTTTATTTAATATCTATGTTATTAGAATAAAAGATTATGTAAGTTCATGAGACAATACTACGTACAATCATTTTGCTTACGTTAAAACATATATAATAAATTGTTTTAAAATAATTATTTCAATTTACACCTTCTAGTTTATTTTACATCGATAAAAACTTTATATGTATATTTTATGTTTTGAGAATTCATAGTAAAAAAAAACAATAATCTTAAAAGAATTTAATTGCGCATGTGAACAATCTTTACTTTGTTAAAAAGAAGAAAAAAAATGTATGATATTTACACGTCGAGTATGGAAAGTTTTGCAACCCTAATATGATCACGGCGATTCATGGATTGCAAATTTGCAAAGCATGCATTCGAATAATTAAATTTTAAACAAATCAGCAATCATTTCCAATGTTTTCTTTTCTTTCTTTAGGAAGTATAGAAAAACTGAAGCTGTGTTCATGCACTCCTCAAGCTGGGTGCATGCACACTTTAACTCCTTTCCTAAACAGCCCAGTATTTTCCCGGCTCAATAATGTCCATTGATTGAGAAGAGCTGCCCAAACAGTGAGAAAAAAAACATGAAACACCTTTAAGAAATGCGCATAGACAATATCAAGATAGCCTGTTTATTTTCGTATTTGAAAGATATTTAAAAAAAAAAATTAAAAAAATTATTTTTTATTTTAAATTAATATTTTCATATTATTTTAAAACACAAATAATAAAAATAATTTTTAAAAAATAAAATAATATTATTTTAATATATTTCTAAATAAAAATAAATATTATTTTAATATTTTTCTAAATAAAAAAAAAAAAAAATAACTTAAACCACGAGAAAGAAACTTAGTAAACATTTTGTTAGTTAACGACTTTTGAACGTGTGTGGCGGAAGAAGACTTCGATCCGGAAGGGAGGAAGTCTTTAATTAATGGAATGACCCGGACACGAGTGTAGCATTGACGCACGTCAATGTTGACTTAGATGGCGGCGGATAAGTTAGTCATATAGGCTGCCTCTGTTACGTTAACCCTCCATCAAAATTGCATGTTTGTTTCTGTATACTATGCAAGCAATTTCTCCCTCTGAACTACTATAGATTTTTTCCCATCAAAAGGAGATGTCCAGTGGCCTTGTTACTGGTTTGATCGCTAGACATAAGCTCATGAAGATCGTATACAACTGCCCATCATCTTGCTCTGCTTTTTCTTTAGCGTCTTGGGTTTCTGCCAAGGTTTATGCAATTGCGTGCAAGCTATTCTGTGCGATCTTGACGTTCGTGTTTGCAGTAGGTTAGTGCCAAACTTTCTGTGGTCATTTTCTGTTTATTTTTCTCAAATATCGGGCTTCAATCGTTCTAGTAAGCCACGAGAACCATCATCCCATCTCTTCCCCTTCAATCACTTCTTTATATTATTATTTTCTTTTTTATCACACATCGAGCTCTCTCTCTATTTATAGCTGGCACAACATTGGGAGCCTATGCTGGTGCAGTTGTGGGCCTAAAGTCTAAAAGCAGCTTACTTCATGGAGCCGCAGTTGGAGCCATCATGGGGTGCATACTTTCCATTGAAATTTTTAGAAAATCATTCGTTCTCTGGGATTCTGATGATTGGGCAATTGACACCTTCATTCATATCGTAAGTTCCCTGATTGCTCCTCACTACGCTAATCACTTCAGGGATCGAAAATTTGAATTAATTATGCCCTGACCTTGCCTTTCAACTTTAGATTCAAACAGGTTCAAACATCTTGAATGAAAGAATAGAAAGGCTTAGTTCAACCACAGTTTGCAGCAATGGATTATCGATGCTGAAAATTCAAAATAAGAGACTTGCAAACAAAAACTTTGTGGGTACCTCATGGAGTGGACCTTCCTGTCCAATCTGCCTACAGGTTAGTGGCTTTGCTGTTTTAAAAAAATTAATCTCCCCAATTCGAATAATAATTGTGTTCAACACTTATCTTGTTCGCTGATTGACAGGACTTCCAACTGGGGGAAATGGTTTGCAGCTTGCCGGGGTGCCGCCACACATTTCATCCACATTGCATTGGTCAGTGGTTTATTGGACACAGTTCTTGCCCATTGTGCAGGAGAATACCATTTTTGGTGGAGAATGTGGATTGTGCTACTTAAGAACAAAAATTGTTCACTCCATTTTGTTAAAAAAAAATAGAAGATAAAATACTCTCAATGTATTGAATAAATAAACAGCGAGTCTTTAAATAGGTTGTACAGTAATAAAAAAATAGTAATATAATAACAATAAAATATCCACTACTTAAAACATGGATTGAACTCCTATAGAATAGGTCTTCTATATTTATTGCCGATAAACTCAAAAATATAAGCAACATAACTTATTTTTAACATATTTTTCCCCACACTCCAATTAATATTGGATTGTTTATATATACATGATTTATATTTATTTGTAAACAAATCATCTGCCAACTGGGTGGGTTGTTCATTATTTTCTCTCTCTCTTAACCATACCTAAGCACGAGAAGCATAGAGTGTGGGTATTGTTTATTTATTTTTAGTGCAAAATAACTAACAAACATAGTTACTGCCCAAGGAAGGAGATGCCAACAGCATCACTCAAGAGGGTACCATAAATGTCTTATGGATGAGAAAGATCCAGACCTGTAGAGGGATGTCATTAAAACACCCATCTTAACTAGGAAGTCAGCTCCTCGATTATCTTGTCGCAAAATGTGATGGAAAGCAACATTCCACTCACGTTTGCAATGACACTGTATATCAATAATGACGTTACAGGAGGAAGAAACATATGATTCTAACAATCAAGTAAATGAAGGAGACGCCAGCAGCATCACTCGAAAGGGTACCAGAAATGCCTTGCGAATGAGAAAGATCCAGACCTGTAAAGAGACGTCACTAGAAGACCCCATCTTAGCTAGGAAGTCAGCTCCCCGATTATCCTGTCGTAAAACGTAATGGAAAAAAACATTCCAGTCATGTTTGCAATGACACTGGATATCAATAAACATGTTACAGGAAAAAGAAACATCTAATTCTAACAATCAGGCAAATGAAGAAGACGCCAGTAGCATCATCACTCAAGAGGGTACCAGAAATTCCTTGTGGATGAGAAAGATCCAGACTTATAGAGGGATGTCATTAAAAGACCCCGTCTTAGCTAGGAATTTAGCTCCCCGATTATCCTGTCGCAAAACGTGATGGAAAGAAACATTCCAGTCACATTTGCAATGACAGTGGATATCAATAATGATGTTACAAGAGGAAAAAACATTTGATTCTAACAATCAGGTAAATGAAGGAGACGCCAACAGCCTCACTCAAAAGGGTACCAAAAATGCTTTACGGATGAGAAAGATCTATACCTGTTTAGGGATGTCACTAGAAGACCTCATCTTAGCTAGGAAGTCAGTTCCCCAATTATCCTGTCGCAAAACGTAAAGGAAAGAAGCATTCCAGTCACATTTGCAATGATTGGAAAGAAACATTCCAGTCACATTTGCAATGACAGTGGATATCAATAATGATGTTACAAGAGGAAGAAACATCTGATTCTAACAATCAGGTAAATGAAGGAGACGCCAACAGTCTCACTCAAAAGGGTACCAAAAATGCTTTACGGATGAGAAAGATCTATACCTGTTTAGGGATGTCACTAGAAGACCTCATCTTAGCTAGGAAGTCAGCTCCCCAATTATCCTATCGCAAAACGTAAAGGAAAGAAACATTCCAGTCACATTTGCAATGACAGTGGATATCAATAATGATGTTACAAGAGGAAGAAACATCTAATTCTAACAATCAGGTAAATGAAGGAGATGCCAACAGCCTCACTCAAAAGGGTACTAGAAATGCTTTACGGATGAGAAAGATCTATACCTATTTAGGGATGTCACTAGAAGACCTCATTTTAGCTAGGAAGTCAGCTCCCCAATTATCCTTTCACAAAACTTAAAGGAAAGAAACATTCCGGTCATATTTGCAATGACACTGGATATCGATAATATAATTACAGGAAAACAAAATATATGATTCTAAACAATCAGGTAAAGGCTGCCTTTAAGCCCCTTAAACCGAATAGCTGCTTCATCTATGAGTGGTACACTACTTATGAGATTAATCGGAATGTTTACTTGCTATATATAGAGACTTCACTTTCAAACTCATGGTTTGGAGTAGGGGTGTTTAAAAAAAGCAACCAACCGATTAAACCGAAAATAATAACTGAAAAACCGAACCGATAAAAAAAACAGAATAAACCGATTAAAAAATAAAAAAAGTTCACCCGGTCCAGTTCAATTCCAGTTTAAAAAAGCTTAAACTGATTGAACCGGATCAAATCAAACCAGTTTAATTAAATCTAAAAGAAAGGTATAAAAAAAAACATTCTAAACCTAAATATCTCAACCCTACCTTTTCAGCCCTCATCCCTTTACCTTTTCTCTCTTTCCAGCCGCCCCACCTTCCTTTTCCCCCCACTTCATGTACTCTCACATCTTGTTAATGAGCTCTAGGTTCATTTCTTGTCTTTCACAACTCTGGATCTCACTCTTTCAACTCTCTAATTCCCATATTTTATTCAAAGAGCTCTCAATTAGCTTTTCCCTTTCCCCCTTCCTCTCTCCTTTTCTCTCATTTCAAACCACCCCACTCATCCCTCCCTCCCCTTGTGCTCTTCTCCCTTGTATATTAACATTAAATCTTTCATCACTCTGGTTTATTTTATTGTCACTTCTCCTATAAATGAGTTGAGCTTTATATCATATTGCTTATCTCTTGAAAAAAAATCGCTAGCTTGATGTGATGGGCTTTGGTAAACAAGCAAATCAAACCAGTTCTTATTAGAATCTCGTTGATTGGAACGCTTATCGTGAGTGGTAAATTAGCCTCCTATTCTCTTGCTTATTTCATGGTCGCCTTGCAATAATAATAGCTGCAAAAACAATTTAGTTTTTTTTTTATTTTTATTGTTAGAAAACCAATCCAAACCGAACAAAACCGTTTCGATTTGAACTAGTTTTTGATTCGATCCAGATTATATTAACCAGGAATGTTATTTTTCAATTTGATTGAATTTTTATATTTAAACCGGACCGGACCAAACTATAAACACCCCTGATCTGAAGGCTTCAGATATAATTATCACCGGTTAAGCTCAGATGCTAGCAAAAGTTTAGCTGGTAGATCCAATTCGATCGTTAAGGAAGTTTACAGCATCTAATTTTCACTGGATATAAAAAGGATACCCACTCATTAAGACGATAGGGTAATATTTAAAGAGAATTTCAAAGCTTTAGCTAAAATAAAATTCCCGAGTCAAAGCCCATATTACAGAAGACTGTTCCAGTAAGAGAACCAATCTACATATATGGTAGTGATTAAGAGACTGACATACCAAATCTACGGTTTCAACTAGACAACGTGCACAAATGAACACCCAAGCTTGATTATTAGCAAGATCAGCACGAAATACTTAATTATCAGCTCTCAGCCATGGAGCCACGGTCCACAGCTCTGACACACTTGGGATGCACCTCGTATCCACATTCAAGGCACTGATAAGCCCATCCTGAACCTTGTTCATCACAATCACAGCATATAAACGGTCCTCCTCCAGTTCCTTCTGAAACCAAGGTTAGTTCATGTCGATGCCCTGCATGGTTCTTTGATCTTGGTAGGCTTTGAGCCTCCTCGTCCATTTGTTTCTCCAGTAAATCCACTTGGGCCTCGGTAAAAGGGTACGCATTTTCTTGGTACAAGTTAATTAGGTTTCTCCCATGTTTACTGACAGTTTTACCATCAGGACCTAAAATTACCAAGCAAGGGATACCTTTTACATCAAAGTGCTTAGCAAGGGTTTTGTTGGCAGGATCTCCGAAAGGCAATGCTAGCCATGGCATGCTATTGAAGTAGGAGTCGAATTCAGCTTGATCGCGATCACTTGACACAAACACAATTTCAAAGTCGTCATCATTCCCTTTGTTTACCAGAATTTCCTTAATCTTTTGGTAGATGGATATCAGCTTGGGAGTAAACTTCCCGCCCGGAAGACACCAATGGGATGAGAAATACAGTCCGATTGTTTTGCCTACCAATGAGGCAACGGGCACCTGCAAGTGACAAATACGTTAGACAAACAGATTTTCAAGCACATGCGTTTCTACCATGAAATTTGTCAAAATCTATGAATCATGTTCCTATTGCCTGTCCTTATCATTACTCGAGTGGATCCCAATGTTAATTTTTTGCGGTAGGAGATCTTCAGTGCAGATTCGAAAAACACAGGCCAGTGCATGTAACTCCAATAAAAATGGCGTCCAGAAAATTGTACGCCAAGGAGACCCACCCCAAATAATAGATACGGGCCTGCCTTGCGATCTTATGAATATGCGAGAACTATCCAATCAGGTTAGGAGATTTGTAGATTCTTGTTATCACCTTATCTGCCACATCACTGACATGTTAATTAGAGTTGGATGCATACGTATCCTTAATCGGTCAAAATCTTATATTTCATTAAGATTTTGTTTAATTAATATAATAATACAGAAGAAACATGTATAAGAAGATAAAATGTATCTGATTGAAAAAAAAAAAAGAGAACAGAACATTAAAATAAATTTAATTTCAAGATAGTTTTATTGTGAATTTATATTCCAAGAGTATGTCCTAGCTATTTTTGTCTTTTCTATCATAAAATAATAATCAAACACTACCTAATAAACTTAGTATTATTCATATGAGATGAGTCGTATATACAAAATCATATAATACTCATGCATCACCATTACATTTGATTCATGTAACTATAAATAAGGTAAAAAAATAAAAAATCAAGTATATATGATATTTCTCTACACGATCCTCAAAACATATCGTCCACAAACGGTGAACAAGGCCACGTAGCAAGCAAAAACAATTAAGCAATGGTTCTGGTCCTGTGACTTAAGCTGGTTAGAAGAGGAATCTAGTTAAACAATACATATACGTGTCATGATGTCGGCTACGCTTTCTTTTTTCATGCATGAACCAGGTGACGTTTTGAGCTCTTTTCTTGTATATATCTGCCCAACCGTGATGCACAAGGTGCTGACTCATTGGACCCGCCGCAATGACCTTCCCATCATTTTGTAGTGACCAAAAATTTCTAAAACTGAGTGGTCAAATCAAATGAAAATTGTGTCCCCACCGAATAAAGATGGGAGGGCATCTTATTATTGCCAGCACATCGAAAAACATTGTGGTAAATTCCTACAATTTTTTGTTTTCGTTGTAGAACTTGATCAGAAGATTTACCGGGTCGTAGCTCGTCGAGAAGTTCAATCCGAGTAAATTATTTAAAAAAAATAAATCCAAATATGGGTTTTGCTCTAGTTCGGCTGAGTATGAGAGGATGCTACAAGTCGTTGAAGGTTTTAAAACTAAAATTTTGACAACAACTAGCATAAAATCAAAACTGCCTGCAGTGAGATCAAGTTAAATTTCAAGGAGGCAGGTAGGAACTGACCTGTCTAGGTGCGGGATGACCCAAAAGATAGTCTCTATCATGGCAAGCCAGCAAATTGGTTAGGGTCTGCCTCTCATGCTTCTCCTTCTCTTCCAATTTTAATTCCTCCAGCCTCTCTTTGGTAAATGGGAAAGCCTGGACTCCGAACCGGTGAAGGAGCTCGACCCCGTCATGTAATGTTGCCTCATCTTTGTTATCCTTAGGATGCAAGATGACTAGGCAAGGAATTGCTTCAACGTCAAATTTACTATTTAAGGCTTTTTTGGTCTCCAAATCTGAAAATGGAATGGACAGCCATGGCATGTTGGCACGATAATTGTTGAAGGCATCCAAGTCCTCATCAGACGACACGAAGACAATTTCGAAATTAGATCCATTGCTCTTCAAATCCTGATATGCACCAATTAAGACTTGGGAGGTGAAGCTTCGACATGGCGCATACCAGTTGGCAGAGAAGTAAAGGCCAAGCACTTTGCCTTCAAGATCAGAAACTTTCACCTAAAAAGAAGCCACGTATTCTAACACTGAGTTAGTTAGCAATTTAATGCAGCTTGTGTTATAGCTGGGCCAAGAAAATGATGAGATGCATCCATTTTATTCCAAGAAAATGATGAGAAAACCATCCAATAAGCAATGATAACAAAGAATTCATTCTCCAATAATTAAGTTGAGCTCAATAAAATGATGAGATGCATCCATTTTATTCCATGAAAATGATGAGAAAACCATCCAATAAGCTATGATAACAAAGAATCCATTCTCCAATAATTAAGTTGAGCTCAACGAATACAATGTGTTACCACATTTTATGTGTACAGTAGTTGAGAAAGGGCCACGTTGCTGTACCTATTGCTTTAATGCAAGGAAGAAGTGATCATTACGTTGTGAAACAGACACATGTCCTATCGGCTTGGTTGTTTACGGGCAACCATTGTGTGGAAGCCCAACTTCATGTTTGGCTTGTGAATAAACACAGCCCTGTCCCAGAAAATGATACCCTCTTCCCCCGCCCCACAAAAACAACAAAAACAAGAACATTATCGACCGCCTTAACGTCGATGGATTGCCGACAAGATGAGAATAATAGAGAATCAAGAATTTTAATTGCACTTACGGTAATACATGGTTAATTAATTAGTTAATCCAATGAGCTGCAAGGTTCAGTGTTTAATAATTCTACTATTCTAGCCATCTCCTTGTTGTTTCACTACATGTCAATTTAGGGTTCCATAAAGTATATTTATTGTAAGAAGACCACCCTAAACCGCACCAGAGATCATGATAATTAATTTTTCCAATAACTGCTCAGTATGCTTCGTTCCCCGCGCCCTACCATCCACTAGAAAGGATAAGTTCATAGACAAGAGAGTCCTGGAGAGTCAAAATTTTATGGTGATCAAGAATGAGTAATTGTTCACTAATGTTTATTTGCATTATAATCTTCCTTTTTCTTGTTTCGAATGAAAGAAAATCAAATATAATTTACCTTAGCTTCCTTCCACAAAGTAAAATAGAGTACCTTGTTAATTCATAATAAATATGCGGCCATAAACTTAATTAGTTTGGTGACGAGGGGGTATCCAAACCATTATTTAAACATATACATGAGACCCAGCAAAAAAACAAAAAAAAGATTCAGTAAGATAAAATAACTTTATTAAAGAAACAAACTAAGATGATATTACGATTTTGCTAAGGCATTGCTATTTGAAACGCTAACTGCAGTTACGTTATTCATGCTCTTAAGTCTTAGCTACTATAATTTAAATAATTTGCTGCACAATCTAAAAAATTTTCTAAATATCAGCAACAACTAAATATTTTTTTATTGAAAAAAAAAAGATTTCATTCACAGCGTAGCAAGAACAAACAATCTAGTTATTATACTAATAACTAAAAAAACTTGAGGTGAGGTTAATTGTTCATATATGAACAATGAATCTGCTATTTTTTTTGTAGAAAGTTACACAGCCTCGTCTACACCACGTAATAGCACGCGAAAAGAAAAAAAATCACAGAAACTACTTTGAATTTATTTATTTATCTGGACAGGAGGATTTGAGAACACATGTAAAATATCATTCGTCGATCTAGATAATTATGATTTGGTTTGTTAATTTACATTTTAATTTTGAAGGAGACGTTGACTCGATCTTAATCTGTTTCTTTCTGATCAATAAATTCTTTAATTTAATTTCATTAAAAAATTAGTAATTGATCTTGGGTTTCATCGAGAAAGAAATGGATATCTATTTTTTAAGATCATAAATAGAAAATCAATCAAAATAATGGTTGCAGAAAGTTCCTTTTTTCTTCCGAATAAAATATTAGCTCAAAGGGGATTAATTTTTCGTTTTTTAATTGGTAAAATATTGTTTTTACAACCCGAAATGACTGGATAAACTCGATCTGCAGATATCAGATAATCCAAGCACTTAAGTTTCCCTTCCCAGATTTTTTCTAAGCTCAAAATTAAGAACTCGGATCATCAGTGATACAAAAAGAAGAGAAATGTTTAAAATTATATGACCCAAAAAAATAAAAACAAAGAAAGAGAAAAAGTTGACAGAAATATTTGCTTGGAAAACCATGAGCATGTGAAGTATGAACCACAGTTTGCTGCGTGAATCTTTATAAATTTAATTAAACAACTTAAGATTTTAGATCACAGATGTAAAGAAAGAGATAGAGATCAGAGAGTGAACCTGAGTTCCATCTTGGGAAAGAAGATAATCACGATCTTTCGAGGCCAGAAGTGATGAAAATCTTGAGCTTGAGATTCTGTGTGAGTCACCGTTTGCTTCAGCTTTACTAGCTTGAAGCTTCCTGGAATTTTCCTCCAAGTTCATCTCCTTCTTGACCTCTCTCCTCTTCACCCACACAGTCTCCCTCCCCCTCTCCCTCTCTCTCTCTTTCTCGAGATGAAATACAATCCTCTAGTATCACGCTTATATTCCTGAGAACCATATTCTTTCCACGTACGTGTTTTGAAATAATACTGTGTAGATTACTTTTACAAAACTGTTGTTTAATTAAAATAATTATTACTAAATAAACTCCACATCATTACCTTACACCCGATAGGAAATCACAACACGCACACGTGGCATTCACCTCTCTTCAGTAGGAAACTACAAGCTCTGCTCTCTATACAAGAACCCAATAGTGAGTGCTTCACTAACTACCACCAAGAGCCCTATCTAGACATCACACCAAAGGACTTGCTTTAGATAATTTGCCACGCGTGAGGTTACGAAAGAAACAGATTGGTGTGAATAATTGTACTGTAATTTTTCCCTGTATCTTAGCAGTGGTGTCTTGAAAGGCTTCGGACTGTGACGTAAGAAAGGTAAACAAACAGCAGCACACCTGTCCCTTGCTCTGAATTTTTTTTTTTTTTCTGAAAGGAATTTCCCATAATATATGAGTGGCTGCACGTGCTAACCACCAATATTTTAATTTAAATTATATAGGATAATACAATATCATAGCCCTGGATAAGAAACTAGGTTAATGCATCAAGGTGGATGTCTTCATAAATAGCATTAATCGATGATGTGTGTTTATATCCACACAAGATAGCCTTTTTAAAAATTATTTTTCAAACTGATATGAGTTTAATTATATGATGAATTTTATCATTGAAAATAATTCTTTTAGGAAGAGAAGTAATCTTTGTGCTATATAAACAGTTAGAACTCTCGTTTCCTACTTGAAATAGGATAATGACATCATCAGAAAGAGATAACACAGCCGGAGTGTTGGGAGGAAATATTATTTTTGAGATTTTATTAAATTAATTTTTACCACAAGTCTAAGATGCTGAATTGGGGATGATTAATTTGATGGATAAACCTTCTTTCATGTTGACTCTCTGTCTTTATGTTCAAGATTATCTAATATTATTCATTGATTTAAAAGAAAAAACACTAATGTTACCTCTAATTATTAAATAGCCTGATTTTAAATGATTAAGTGAGATGTTGTTACTTGTATGGATTCGAAAGAAAAATAAATATTTTTGTTAGTTATTTAGAAAATAAATTGCTATTTTTTAAGACTGGGAATTAAAATGGAACATCGGTGCAAATGTAGTTTACCCAAAAGCGATGCGTTTCAAGGAACATCCATCAGTAACCTTTGAGACTTGAAAAGGAAAATACACAAAGTAACTTTCCTTCCGAATAGACAACTCGATTGCATCATCACCTGATCGGAGAAAGTCCCTGTTTTTTCCTTCAATCTGGTTAGAGAGAAGAGTATAGCTAAGATTAGAATGTTAGTCATAATTATTTTAAAAATGTTTTTTATATTAAAATATTATTTTTATTTTTAAGAATTATTTTTAAAATGAATGCATCAAAACAATTTTAAAAAATTAAAAAATAATTTTTTTAAAAGCATGCCACGTTTCTAAACAGCTTCTAACTCGGCTTGAACGGCTGGGACCATCATGTTCAATTCCCAAAATGGACGTACGCCATTGAATTTGACATTAGGCAACGGGACCGCTGGTAATTTATGGCCACGACATGTGGCATTCTGTGATTTATAGATGTCAGGAGGGACTTATTGTCTTTGCCTCTCGATGATGATGCTTGTAGCTGGATATACCTTGGACAGAAATAAAAAAAAACACATGTTACTCGAGGTAATTATTACACAAGAGAACTCCCTTGATTGGTCGTTCGTAAGAAATCAATACCAGAATTTGTAGATTTATCCATATAATTGTTTTTCGGTATTTATATTTATATTTTCTTAGCATGAATTTTACAAACAGTCACGTGAACAGAAATAATCTATCAAAAATATTCTTGTTAGTAATTTGTAATTTATCACTAAGTCTCCGTAATAATTTTACAAATATATTTACTAACAGACAAAGTTTATTAAAATATTTTACCGGTGTTATTTTATCAATTTTTTCATTCAAGAATATAAAACATCACCAACAAAAAAAAATATTTTATTTTATTAATAATATATTATTTTGCCAATAAATTTAATATATAATTATCAAATAAATTATCTATTATTAATTTAATAAGTAAACAGTGATTATGATATTTACAGTAATTATTTTGCAACTCTCTAGAATATACTGACAAACCTATATCTATTGGTAACTCTATCAATAATAATTTAAAAATATACTTTAAAAAATTCTATTAAACAAAAAAAACAAATATAAATAATATAAAATTCAAATATTTATTATAAATTCAAATATTTATAAATTTATATAAATAATATAAAATTCAAATATTTATCATAAATTTAAATATTTATAAATTCGAATACAATTAATTTAGAATAAAAGCGTTCGAGGAGGAGGAGGAGAGTATTCACCTGAAACTTGAAACAAATAAAAAGAAGCATGTATATCACTTATATATGATCTCATCTAAACTCAGTTATTCACAAGCTATTAAATCCTTTTTTGGCTATCATAAATCCCACGTGCATTTCCATTAACAACTTCATTGAGCTTGGTTCAAGTCCAAGAATCATGGTCTGCAACAAAAAATTATTTTTAGTTAAATATAATTATAAAAAATCAAACAAAAAATCATGGTCTCACCATTAATTTTGCAAGCAAATCGAAGGAAAAGGAGTCATTAGTGTGCATGGTAGTGGAATAATATACATGCCGGTTCTGGTTCTCCTCATCGGAGTGTGATTGTCACAATAAATGATCGTACATCATGAGTTAGATATATTTCGCCTACATGGCCTCTAAGATATACAAAGGTCTAAAATCCTTCAAATTGCCATCTCCTTCCAGCATGGAAAGTCTTTTTTTCTTATATTTTTTAGCTTTCTTTACTTATCGCATTAAAAATCACACAATCCATGTAGCCTCTAAGATGTATAGAGGTTTTAAACCCTTCGAAATTGCCACCTCTTTCTAGTCTGGAAGGTCTTTTTTTCCCTATATTTTTTAACTTTCTTTACTCCTCGTATAAAAAATCACGCAACCTAAAAATGATTCAAATGAATTATTTGTTAGTAAATAGATAATAAAATTGAATAAAATGATTAAAAGTTTTATCTTCACATCAATCTTATTTAGTTGTAGTAAGATTTTTTGAAACCTTCCTTGCAATAACATTATCAACTCTATCCGATTTAAATTTCTCCTGTTCAAATTTCTCCTTGTAGTTAAAATTTGTATAAGAAAAGTTTTATTAAGAAGTTAATAAACCAACCAAATTAACATGATAAAAAATATTTAAGTTAACATTAATCTTAAACCTTATAAACCATGCATCAATCATAGGTTTCCATTCAGGGTATTTGAAAACCTAACTCCACTAAAACAATGGAATTTTCATCATCAATTTCATTACCAAAGTGATGGTTCTAGCAACCTTAATATTTGTAAACATGAAATTACATTCATTGATTGAAATTATGTTTTTCAAGAATTATTAACACATCGATTTGAAGGGAAAATAATATTACATTGAAAGGCGTTCTTCCACTTATCCTGGTACTTCCAAATAATGGATCTTGTTGTGAAGAGGGGCCTTCAATATACTAGCATCATACTCAACAAGCTCGCATCATGAGTGAATGCATGTGTCTTAAGTATTTTTTTTAGTCGGTACATAATGACTTGCGATTATTAGAAATACTACAAGAAAACTACCAGCATTCATGTTCGTACAACTTGTTATTAACTTTTCCTTAAATATCTACACAAATTAAAAATTTAAGGTACTATAAATTATTTCTAATTATTTTTTTAAATAAAGCAATAACACATCTTCTATGTAAGAGACTTTTCAAAAAATTTAAACTTGCAAATAAATAACCAAATAATTATTTATAACTAACTAGTTGGTGTATCCACCTATAAAGTCTAGTTGAAAATTTTAATCTAGTCAAAAATTTTCAATAACCCACCAATTATAACTAGCTAGTTTTTTTCATATAGTGATGATTTTGTATGTAATAATCAATAATAGACACCGAAGATGACATGTAAACAATACTTTAGCTATTAAAAAATTACCGACAATGACTAACCATTGGTGATTCTATATATAATGAATAGTAAGAAATAATGTAAATGAGAAGTGAACAGCGTCTTAGTTATATAAAGAATACCGGCGAAATTAATTATCAGTGATCCCATATGTATGAAACAAAATAAACAGTGCTAATAAACTCAAGGAACTTAGACTTAGCAGTCAATCAAGTCTAAGATAACGTGCGTCTAGT